ACACCTACCAGATATCTAGCAGAAAAGATAGTGCATAGAAGTCTTGTCCTGCAGTCACAATGACCTGAGTTCATATTACTATTAGCTGTGTGACCCTTAACCTCTTAATGCTTCAGTTTTCTTATCTGAAAAATGGGGATGATCATAGCATCTACCCCATAAAGTTGTTGGGGGGGTAAAAGGGTGGTAATATTTGTAAAGCACTTTGCAAACCTTTATGAAAGCAATATGTAAATGCTAATTATTATTATTATTATCACCGTCTTCATGAAAAGAAGCAATATATGATATGTCAGATAGGTAGTTCAAACAATGCATACCATACTGCATACGTAAAGGGCAGTAGGAAGTGACTGTAGGTTGAGTTCATCAGAAGAAGCTTCATGAAAGAAATGGGAAGTAATTTGGGTACATGAAGAGGAGAGGAGGGAAATAAAGCTCCTTGAAGGAAGATACTATTTACTTTTGTTTTTCTATCTCCAGCATATAGTACCTCCAACTCCTAATTGGTACTTAATAAAGCACAAGCAAAAGTATGGAAGGGGGGATGCATAAGATGGTTGTATGTGTATAACAATAATAATAACTCAGATTTATATAGTTCTTTTCTTTCCTACACACACTATAAATATACTATATTAGTTTGCTTCCTGCTCTTCATATAAGCCTTTGTAATGGATGACCCACCCCAGCCCCCCTGCCTGGAATTCCTAACTTCTCTGAATTCCTTCAGAACAAGAAGCCTTTCCTAGCCCTCCCCCCCTCCCCCCCCAGCCCTCCAGTCTGACATTAACATCCATTGACACTCTGTATACCTGTACGTACATAATTATTTGTATGTTGCCTCTCTTGTTGGAATGTGAACTTCTGAAGGTCAGGCACCATCCTTGGCATTCCTAGAGCTGTACACAGTAACTGGCACACAGAAAGTCTCTAATAAATGCTTGTTAATTCTAAAATTTTGCAAAGCGCCTTGACATACATAATCTCCTTTGATCCTTACATTAACTCCAAGATAATATCCACTTATCTAGTGGCAATCCGCAGACCAAATTGAGGCTCAGAGAGGCTAAGAGATTTACCCAAGATCACTCCATTCACCAAGGGTGTGGGCAAGGGTTCAAATCCAGGTCCTTCTGACTCCAAATCCAGTGCACACACGGCACCTAGTTGTCATAGTTTCCAATTAGCCTCTATTCTCTGTGGGAATGGATTCAGTATCTTACCTCTAAACTTGGAATCTCCTGAAGAGCCTATTTAACTCACTGCTCTGGGCTCTACAGCAGAGAATTATTAGGTTACACATTTAGAGCTGGAAAGAATATTAGAGGCCCAGGAGTCCCATGCCCTCATAGGTGCTTAATAAATGTTGAATGAATTAAAGAATTAATGAATGTTAATGTAACCAGATATTCTGACTGTCCAAATCCCTTCCTCTGCCCATAAGAAAATTAGTCCAAATATGTCTGAATATCGTAAAATATTTAAAGTCTAACATTCAATGTACAAGAGACCTGGGGTTGAGTTGTGTGGTCCCTTAGAAGGTGTTGCCCCAGAATAAACGCTCTCTTCCAAAGCAGCAGGACCACCTCTGACTTTGATTTTGTCTGCTGGCCTGTGTAAACATTCAGAGCCTCAGTTCAGATCACGAGGAATGGTGGTGCTCCCACATTTCTTGTAGCACGTATGAATAATGCAGCCATCTGCTCCACCCAAAGTGACTCATAATCACATTCCAGTTCCTTGCTTAAAATTCTCCTAATGATTTTCTCCACACCACGCATCACCCCCTGCTTGTTGAGCAGTCTCTTTTGGTTACAACTTCAGAGTTTCATTATTTAGTTACTGAAGTGGTCCTAAGTCACAGGATTACATCCTAGTTTTATCAGCAGGAAAGGACTTCCAGGTCAATTTACATGCTTACTCAAGTTTATGTACGTAGTAAATCAATCTATCAACCAACATTTATGAAGCATCCACTGCGTGCTGGGATACAAAAACACACTACTTGCCTCCAAGGAGCTTCCAATCTAATGGAGGAGACTATATTCAAACAAATATGTAGGAGCAAGCTAAATACAGGATAAATAAGAGATAATGAACAGGGGAAAGGCACTGGAATTCAGAGGGGTTGGGGAAGGCTTCCTGTAGAAGGTGAGATCTTAAAGGAAGCCAGGGAGGTCAGTAGTCAGAACAGAGGAAAGAAAGGGAGACAGCCGGAGAAAATGACCAGAAAATGAGATGTGTGTCTTGTTCATGGAACAGCCAGGAGGCTAATGTCAACGGATCGAAGCATACTTGTTGGGGAGTAAGGTATAAGAAGACTGGAAAAGTAGTAGTGGCATAGATTATGAAGGGCTTTGAATGTTGAACAGAGCATTTTGTATTTGGTCCTGGAGACAGTATGGAAGTCACTGGAGTTTACTGAGTTGGGAGGAGGGGGCCATCACATGATTGGTCCTATGCTGTAGGAAAATCACTTTAGTGGCTGAACAGAGGTTGGATTAGAGAAGAGAAAGATTTGAGAAAGGTAGTCTCACCAGCAGGCTATTGCAATAACATTTTTGTGATTTACGTATTTTTGGTTGGAAGGAGATGATGGATACAGAATTTATTTTCTAAACAAGAGGAATGAACTTAGTCCACTTTTAAGAAGAAAAGCAGTGCTATGCATAGAATCATTTTTAAAACTCTGTTTTTAATCACCATTTTTCAAACAAGTTTTTTTGGAATACTATATGTGTAAACAAATTCTTTAAATATTTATCCTGCCTCAACTCCTCAATAATTCATTTGTTTGTCATATACTTCAAAAAGCTCTCGTGGTAAGATTACAGAAATATGAAGGGTGCTTGTTATTTCCACTTTAACACACTTGAGAGGCAAGAATTGATCAACCTATCTAGGCTTGTAATTGAGTAGTTATTGATCTTATATGAAGAGATAAAGGATTTTTCTCTGTTTGCTTTTAGGATGAATACTTGTTTCAGTGAAAAGAGAAAATGATTATTCACGAAATATTTTTACTAGGCTCCTGTTCCCCGCCTCTTCCCTCTTTCTTTAAAACCAAAGTAACTGTATCTAAAATTTTACTTTAATCCTTAAATTTTTATTTCTTAGGAATCTGTTTCCCCTAATTCCTTTCTTCCTCATTTTTTTTTCAGAAGCTATTTGTCAATTTGATAACCTAAAGAGTCAGGTTGAGTTGGGACTAATAATAGCACCTGTCTTATAGGGTTGTTGTGAAGATCAAATGAAACAGTATTTGTGAAAAGACTTAGTCCAGTGACCAGTACATAATGGACACTAAGTAAAAGCTTATTCATCTCTCCTCCCCAATACATGAAAATATCTTAAGACATTTGCTCTTAACCTGTGTGTGTGTGTGTGTGTGTGTGTGTGTGCTGAACCTTTTTGGCAGTCTGGTAAACTCTATGGGGCCCTTCTCTTATCAATGCATAAAACCAAATATGTTGAAATATAACTGTCAAAATATTTTTTTTAAAAAAAGCTTACAAACCCCAGGTTAAGAAACACTGTTCTAAGATTAGGTGCACCTTCCCCAAATGTCAAACCTACCACTTGACAGTAGCTTAGAAACACTGGTTTCTCGTTTACAGGGAATGCTACAGGGGTGGGGAAAGTGCAGCCTTGAGGCCCCATGTGGCTTTCTAGGTCCCCAAGTACAGCCCTTTGATACAGCCCTTTGACTGAATTCAAACTTCACAGAACAAATCCGCTTAATAAAAGGATTTGTTCTGTAAAACTTGGACTCAGTCAAAAGGCCGTGCTCAAGGACTTAGATGGCCACATGTGGCCTCGAGGCCGCAGGCTCCCCACCCCTAAAGAGATCCCTTTTCTTTATTTAGTGACTAACACATGCCTGGCATATAATATGCCCAAAGTCAAGATCTAACCACATAGGAAGGGGCTAGGATACACTGGATAAACTTGTTGATTGAGAAATGACAAGAACTATTTATTAAGCGATGCATTTTAATTCAAGCTTTAGATAAGACTCTGTTGTTAGAAAGCTTACAATCTAGTCAGGCTCTGAAGTATTTCAGGGATGCTGTGCACAATTCTTTAACAATTTCCTGTCCAAAATTTAAAATAGAAAGAAAATTTGCCACTTAGTTCACATTTAGTAGAAATGAGGCAATCTACTGAATTGAGATCTTGAGATGTTTAATATTCTATAAGCACACTTATCATTTGCATGAATATGCAGGGGAGGTGTTATGGTTATACTTAAATTCTCAGATATGAAAGACTTCGAATTCTTTGTGGAATGGTAAAAAGAAATGTTCAAGCTTAAGATATATTAAAGAAAGAATCATTCTTATGAATGGAATAGTGGCAGAATATTGAATCAAGACAGTGAATGTAAGCTTCTTGAAGGCAATAACTGTTCCATTTTTGACTTTGTATACCCAACAATTAATATAAGACCTCACACATAGTATTTACCTTATATATATTTATTGAATTGAATGGAATACTGGCCTGCAGGTTATCACAAATAGGAATAGGATCAAATATGATCAAAATGAAACTAATGAAATCATAGATTTAAATCTGAAAGGTGCCTTAGAGGTCATCTAGTCGAGCCCTCTTAATTTGAAGATGGGGAAACTGAGTCACACATAAAGGAAATAAATTGCTTGAGGTCACAGAGGTGAACCAGAATTTGAATCTACCTCCTGACTGTAATTCTAACATTCTTTCCTCTATAGAAAGAGAAACTAATTTCCCAGAAAGGAAGCATAGTTTTCTTTTCCATAGCATTATTTTTACTGACGGATCTTCAAAAGCTTCAACTGTAGGTATTCCCTTAGCTCCCTTCATAGTGCTTCACATGTGATAGGAATTAAAGAAATGGTAAATGAATAATTCAATGAAACATAGGTTAATGGATAGAGCATAGAAACAGCAGAATAAAAAAAAAGTTTCATTTTTTCCATCAAGGTGTGACTTAATTATGTTTATTTTTCTAATAGGTCAAGATGACTTCGATTTAGCAGATGCACTTGATGATACTGGTAAGTAGCTGTCTCACCAAAGAATATAGAATTCTAGTATCCTGGGCTGAGAATATGAAGATACTTCAGGGGTCATTAAATATAACATCCACAAATCATAGATCCCAGCAGTCTGTCAGAAGTTGTAATCTTTCCCACTGCCATTGTGATAGTCTAATGGACAGGCATCAGTGCTTGGTTTTGAATCTCAGGGTGCAGGACATGACCACATAAGACTATTCCATAATTACAGAGTGAAGCAAGAGTTAATGAATGAATGTCCAGAAATGGGTGGAAATTTGCCTCCTCTTTGGGTGAGTGAAATTGCTGCGAGTTCATTGCAAGCTGCCATGAGCTGTATATCCTGGGTACCAGTTTCCGGATTCTGGGGATTATATTAGGCTCCATCTGTCCAGAAATTCAAGGCAGCATTCAGTTGGTTTGGAAAATGGATCCTTTGCTCAAAGATCTTAAAGCCTGCAGTATGGGGAGATGATTTTTGCCTCTCAGGGACCAGGTGGAAAAGTAGTGACACAGCTTTTGTCCTCCTCCAGTCCTACCCCCACACTGCAGTTCTTGGAGGGTAGATGAATAAACCAAGTTTCTCATCTTGCTTGAAAATTTTTCGTTGTTTCAAGGAATGGTCTCTACCTGACATCCTGGTGATTATGGAGTTAGTCTGCTGACCTCTAAACCTTCTTCCACCCGTAGGGTTACAGCAGCCTTCTCAAATCAAAGTCAATTGCAAGTCATATCATCATCTCCCTGATGTCATGGTCCTCTTCAAAAACAAATGACAAACCACACAACAGCCCACAACAGCCTTCTAACTTCTATCCAGCCTCTAATGCCTCCACTCTCCAATCTGTCTCAGATATTCTTTGGGAATGGGGGTGGGGTGAGGTGGACCTATGATTTCATGGTACAGGGAAATTCTCTGTCCAATGCAGATCAATAACAGTCCTACAACTTGTAGTCTTAGAGAATTCCTTGATGATGCAAAGAAATTAAATGCCTTGCCCACAGTCACCTTAGACAGTATGTGTTAATGATGGGAATTAAATTTAGGTCTTCCTTACTCTGGCCCTGGTTCTCTAACAACTATACATTATGCTTTGGCTTCCTAAATGATTGCTTTAATCATGACTTGCCTTTGCTCAGAATCTGTCAGTGGCTCCCCATTATCTACTAAATCAGCGGTGGGGAACCTGCAGCCTCGAGGCCTTTGATTAGGGCTGCACTTGAGGACCTAGAAGGCCACATGTGGCCTCGAGGCCCCAAGATCCCCACCCCTGTACTAAATGAAGTACAAACTCCTTTTCTGGCATGTAAGGTCCTCCATGATCTAGTCTCAACATACTTTTCCAGAATTATCTCCCCAATTTCCTTATCATACCCTCTATTCCAGTCAATTGGACTAGTTATTCTCCAGAGAAGAAGGAAGCAAAGGTAGGTGTGGGTGTCCCTATTTCTGAGCTTGCAAAACAGAACAAAACCAAACCAAACCACGAGTTCATAGAAAACACCAGCCTGTCACCCTATCTGCACTAGAGGCAGAATGAGTTGACCTGAAATGCCTTTATTCTCTAGTTGTACATCTGCTTCCAGAATATATTTTATATAGATACCGTCACCTCTCTTTTTCCATTATGTTTACCATGTTTTCTTTTTGTTTTTTCCTGTCCATTCATTTGAACTTGTAGTCACTGGTATCTTTTATACACAAACAAATTAGCTGGATTATTTGCCCCTCCCTCTTCCCCAACATTAATCAGTTTATTACATAGCTTATTCAAGAACCACAGCTTGAAGATTACTGTAAAAGGTAAAGAAGGACCTCCTCTGGGGTCACTTTATAGACTATATTCTCCCAGATTATGGATTATAAAATACAGACTAACCCTGAATGCCTCTATTGGCTTTTATCTCTTTCAAGTTTTTTTTTAAATGCTTGGTAGAATTCTTTCATAGATTGTCAATTCCTGAGGAATTATTTCATGCCCCCATAGCTGAGTCTCTTACATTTTGTTTTTCTTTCTGCTGACTAAGAAATTCATCATGGTCAGGCCTATAATTAGCCAGGTATAGGCAATGATCTTGGGGAGGAAAACCAGGGGTGTCTTGGACTTCTTTTTCTACTTTATCTAATCTTTTCCTCTTCTCCCAGTTATTCCCTTTGGAGCAATCAGGTGGTCAGATGAGGTCTCTATCTCTCAGGTGTTCATAGGAGGCCTTTATCTCTCAGATGCTCAGATGGGGTCTCTATCTCTTTGTCTCCCGCCCCCCCCACCCCATCCTCCTACTCTACAATCAAGTCAAAATCTCTATTATCGTTGTTGCCTCACCTTTAAGGACAGGAAAAAAGACTTTTCCCTAGGACTTGCCACAAATCTGATCTGCCTGTGGTTGCCAGTCTATGTTTATTGTGGTAAATATAGAATGAGGATGTGAGAAAACAAAGCTACAACAATGAAGCCTTATGAAACATACTCTTCCTTGGATAGTATTTATTGTTCTATTTTCTATAACTTCATAGATTTGATGTTGTCAACTCAATTTTAAAAATCATTAAATTGATCTTCATAAAGTTCTGTTGAAATCATTGTATGTATTGTGTGGGTATGTACATATATGTATGCTTACACAGTGTACATATATATACACTTATTACATATACACATATGTGTGTATGTATGTATTTGGTAAGCTCTGGCTCACTCTCCCAGAGAAAGACTGGGTACATCCACCCTTTCAGGTTTGAGGAGTATCCTGAGGGCTTTGGGGGATGTCTTTTCTCTTCTGCTATCTGCTCAAATCTTCTGCTACACCCTTCCTACTGTTAGGTGCCGGTGAGTAGCTCCCAGCTCCATTTTAGCACTTGACAACAACTAGTTTTTATAAAGGATATTTAATTCAGATCTATAAGCAAGAACCAAAATACAAACATTTTCCCCCACTACCTCAGGGAACACTTCTATCCCATATAGGTCTCAAGGGAGAACAGGATCACTCAACACAGTTTCTCCATAACAATGGTTCCACCAAGTTCCTATCCAGATGAGTCATAGCTACCAGATGAATCCCTGTCTCAGTAACCATTGCGCTGGGTCCTAAAAGGTCAATTCTTGGTTCTTGGGGCATCCAGGATGAGCTGATTGGAAATCCTGTTACAGAGATGCTGGGACATCCAGACACTGGAACTCCTGGACACTCAGTCTATTGATCTTAAGGTCGCAGTACCTCATTTAATATCCTTCACCTAAAACTGAAATAAATACTGAGGCAGGCAAAGAACTAAGGTCCATTTTCATAGGGCCATACGACCTCTGAGAGAAGGTCCAATGCCTCTCCCATTATGGCACAGTTTCTTACCAGACTCTGCCAGGTAAGGAGTTAAACTATAAGAGTGCAGCCAAAAAGAGGTATGAGCCAAAGAGAAAATGTGCAGTACTCTAGTTACTAGTCCTTTCTATGTGCCTCTGCAGTCAAAGTACCTCCTATCCTCTCACTAGAAACATTTGTGGTACAGAATGTCTGTGCTCCAAAGTCTCTCCAAGGCCTCTCTATCACACTTCACATGACTCTCCCAGAAACAGGCTCTCCAGCTCCTCCCTTGGGATGGGAAACACTGTCAGTGTTCTCTGAGCATGTGCCTCTCTTCTGTGTGTGTTTGTATGTGTGTGTGTATGTATGTGGATATATTTGTATATGTGCATGTATATATGTATATATACATATGTGCATTTAAATGACTGCTGCCTTACAGAGAATTTTATTACTGGAAAGAACCTTATTGGTCACCTGTAAAATGAATTGTATTAGGTTAGGCTGCTAGGTGGTACAGTAGATAAAGATTGGATTTGGAATCAGGAAGACCTGAGTTCAGATCCTGCTTCAGACATTTACTGGCTATGTGACCATGAGCAAGTCACTTAATCTTTCCCAGGCTCAGTTTCCTCATCCTGAAAATAGGATAATAACACAGATAATAGCATCTGCCTGACAGAGTTGTCATGAGGATTAAATGAGATAATACTTAATGTGCTTTGTCTTGAAGTACTATAGTTGTTATTACTAGATATGGAAAGCATGTTCCAGATAATTATAAGTAATTTTCAAAAATCACGCTTCTAGTTAGAGGCAGAATATGGTCTAGAACCCAGGTCTTTTCACTTCTAGTCCAATGTTCTTTTTTTATTTCACTGTTAACCCAATCACAGAGATTGGCTTTAAGACAGTTAACTATTATCAATAGCCCTAATGAAGATAACAACCTTTCTCAAACTCTGAAACAGCCCAAAGGAAGTAGAGGGGAGCAGGGTGAGGAAATGGGCTGGTATGAAAATAGACTGATTATACCACAGTGGTACAGTGGTATATGTTTGAAAGAGGAAGATAAAGAGCAACACTAAGCAAATTTGTAGCAACATTAGTTTGTGCCAGAATAGTGCAAATGAGATGTTCCCTAGTGGTTTTACCTATGCAGATGAACAGGGAATGTTTCCTCAGTGCATTTGTCTTTTTGTTAGCTATAGGTCTTTGGGTAAGTCTTCAATTAAAATAACAAGGGGGTTATCAAGCACCTACTATGTTGTAGGCACTGTGCTAAGTGTTGAGAATACAAAAATGTTCCTGCTGTAAAAGTGTTTGTACTGGGAATAAAATAAACAGAAAGTTATGGGGAGGGGTTGGGTAAGCCCTAACAAATGAAGGCAGGGTCAGAAAAGACCTCTTGTAGTAGGTTGCACTTGAATCGAACCTTGGAAAAAGCTGGAAGAAATCCAAGAGACCAAGGTGAGGACAAAACATTTTAGGCATGAAGACAGCAGGGACAAAGGCTCTGAGGCAAGAAATAGAATGATGTGTTTGGGGAGCTGCAAATTGCATGAAGTCTTAGCTACGGAATCTCGGGAACACAGAACTAGAGAAGGAACCTCAGAGGCTCTCTAGTTCCACCTTTTCCTTCATTTTACAGGTGAGGAAACTGAGGCACAGGAAGCACAAGTAACTTTCCCAAGGTCACACAAGTAGGACATGTCTAATGCTAGATTTGAACTCAGGTCTCTATCTCCAGAACAAAAGATATTTCTATTGTGCAATATGGAAAATACTAAAAGATTTGACTAATTATAATTCCACATCAAAAAATAGTTAGGCTGATTATAATTGTGCATCAAAAAGCCAATAACAGCTTCCTTCTTGGGAGCATATCCTGAGTCCTTCCTGTTGGGTCTGCTTATATTATTCTACCTTTCCTTTCCCTCAAGATAGAAAGGCTAGGCTGTCAATAACCAATTGGCCTCAGTCCACCACATTAGGTGGTGGATTAGGACAGTTTCTCAGGGATATAGGTAAGGATGTGATTTCAGGGCAAACAAACAACATTGTCTCCAGTATCCTGTTACATCTATATATCTATGTCTGTACATGCACAGTATACATTATGTATGGATATCTCTACACACATGTACATATATACACATATAGTATACACAGAAACATTTGTGTATATATCATATGTGTATATATATATTAAAGGTTCCAAAACTCTGACACCCCCAATGTAGACTATTATGAGGGAGAAACATCAGAACATGTCCTCCTTTTGACATAGGTTTGGGGCAGCTAGGTGGTGCAGTGGATAGAGCACTGACCCTGGAGTCAGGAGGACCTGAGTTCAAATGCGGCCTCAGACATATAACACTCACTAGCTGTGTGATCCTGGGCAAATCACTTAACCCCACTGCCTAGCCAAAAAAAAAAAATAAAAAGGAAAAGACATAGGTTTGCCAAGCTTCTCTAATTTAGTCTTCTGCTCCAACTCAACTGCACTAATGTACAAAACCATAGACTCTCAGATTTAGAAAGGAACTGAGAGCTCATCTGTTTCAACCCTGACCTGATCGAGAAAACCCTACAATCTAGACAATACCAGAAAATGGGTAATCTACTTGAAGACTACTTATTTGAAATACTGACAAACTCAATTTTTAATTATTTCAATCTCAATCTCTCTCTCTCTTTTCATCATAGATGAAATTACAAGGAGACCTAACCCAGTTACCAAGAAACCAGGATCAGGTGGGTTATATCTTTAGCTTGTTGAAAACATCTTAAACTGTAATGTGTGTGTGTGTGTGTGTGTGTGTGTGTGTGTGTGTGTGTATACATACTGTGTGTGTGTACATGTATAACACACACATATGTATGTGGGTGTATGTATGTGTATATATATGTGTATATATATAGTTTGTGCTAAACAAGGATACAATCGTACAGTCACATATCTAGGTTCAATTTTTCAAACGAGATGTAAATTAAAATTAACTTAATGGGTACTAAATACTTAATAAAGCAGCTAGGTGATACAGTGAATAGAGGGCTGGACCTGAGGTCAGAAGACCATGAAGAATTCTGATTAAGAGAAACTTAAATCATCTGGAGGCAGTACTGACTACTTTGGAATAGCACTAATTGTTATAGGCTAGAATTTATATGATGCTTTAAACTTTGTAAAAACATTTTACAAATATTATCACATTTTATCCTCACAACAATCTTGAGATATAGGTGCTATTATTATTCAAATCTAACTTTAGAAACTTATTAGCTGTGTAACCCTGGGCAAGTCATTTAACTCTGCCTCAGTTTCCTCATCTGTAAAATGGGCTGGAGAAGGAAATGACAAATCACTTCAGCATCTTTGCCAAGAAAACTCCAAAAGGAGTCACAAGGAGTTGGGCGTGACTGAAAACAACTAAACCACAAATGGATTCTTAATAAAAATAGTAGCCAGTGCTGATAATGTCTAGTGGTCTAAGCAAGTCCACAAGTCCACAAGCATTTATCAAGCTGTGCCAGGGATGTGCCAAGTATAGGGATAAGCAAATACAAGCAAAAAAGAGAGTGTTTCTGCCCTCAAAAAGTTTACATTTTAGTGAAGGAAGACAACACATAAAAGGAAACTGACAATGGAGTTAGGGAAAAAAATACCTACATGGAAGCATGGTGGAAAAAGAGGTCTGGAGAGTCAGGAGCAGAGCCCAGAGAGGGATAAGAAGTGAACATGGCTGGCCTAGGAATTTTTCTTAAAATGGAGGTTCTGGGAGGAACTTGACCAATCACAAGAAGAGGCCATAGGGAGGAGATAATCTTCCAGGGTAAAAAGATAGTCTGGGTCATGGCAGAGAAACAGATCCAGACAGGAACAGAGCCCAGAGAGCAATGAAAGATTGAACAATGAATAATCTTGGGAACAAATAAGGCTTAAAAAGAATTTTTAGTTAATCAAGAACTCAGAGTTCTAATCCTAGATCCATTTCTATCTCCTGAATATCATAGGGTCAATTCACTGCAAACTCAGTTTCCATAGTCATAAATGAGGATATAAAGATACATGATGGTAAAAACCCATTGAATAGAGAACATTCTCTCTCTCTCTCTCTCTCTCTCTCTCTCTCTCTCTCTCTCTCTCTCTCTCTCTAGACTTAGAAATTATAATCACAGAATCCCTGAGGGACCTCATTGATGGAACAAGTAGTCTAAGTTATACCTGAATAAGAGCTTCACCTTTAGCACATACCTGACAAACAGTTAGCTGGCCCTTCCATGAAAAATTCCAGTGAAGAGGAACATAAATCATCTGGAGGCAGTCCTGACTATTTTGGAAAAGCACTAATTATTATGCCTAGAATTTATATGGTGCTTTAAGCTTTGCAAAAGCACTTTACAAATATTAGCACATTTTATCCTCACAACAATCCTGGGATACAGATGCTATTATTCCTATTTTATAGATGAGTAACCTGAGGCAGACAGAAGTTAAGTGGTCATACAGCTAGTAAGTATCTAAGGCCATATTTGAACTCAGCTCTTCTTGACTCTAGGTCCAGTGTTCTATCTGCGTGCCACCTAAGTGACCCAAGATAATTAGGCAATCTTTCCTCATATAAAGCCTAAATCATCTCTTTGCAATTTCTATCCATTATTCCTTGTTTTGCTCTCTGGAATTAAATAGAAATCTAATCCTTTTACCACAAGAAAGTCTATGAAATATTTTCAGACTGCTGTCATGTTCCTCCTAAGGCTTTTCTTCAGGCCAGACCTCCCTAGTTCCTTTCATGGAGTCTCATATGGTTTGATCTTGAGCCTTTATTCTTATTGCCTTCCTTTGGACATGTTTCAATTTTTAAATATTTTGAATATGCCTAGTGTAATCTAACACAATATTCCCAGTATAGTCTAACCAGGGAAGAGTACAGTAGAACTATCATTGTTGATATATGTATATATGCATATATAATATGCACACATATGTATGTGCATATGTGCGTGTGCTATATGTGTGTAAAGATATAGTGTGTGCTATATGTGTATAGAGGAATATATGCATATAGTGTGCATGTATACACATAGATATATAGATATAACAGGATGTTGAAGACAATGTTGTTTGCTTGCCCTGGCATCACTTCTCACTTATACCCCTGAGAAATTATCCTACCCCTGTGGTTGACCGAGGCCAAATGGTTATTGGTAGTCTAGTATCCTGAGGGAGAGGAAAGGTAGAAGCCACAGTCAGACATAAACTTGGGGAGTAGGGGGCCTGGAAGAGAATGGTTGTCACTCTAAGAAACTACAAAGGTAAAGTGCCTTAGGCTCTTTACAATAGGCTTAAAGGATACTAACTGAAGTATGTGACTGGGCCATATGCAGAGTCATGGAGTTGATTCTGGCTTTGCTTAAACTGTTTGAATGTCTGAGGTCCAGGCTATTGATTCCTTACATTCATCCCCTTAGGGCTGGGACCTGGGGGTGGGGGTGGAGTACTTAATCATTTCAGAGCATAATGTCTTTCAGCACTGGACCAGCAAGTGTGATTCTCTAGAAAGGGCCAAAACAAATAGACGTCTGGAAAGAGCGTACTTCCAGAGATTAACTTTAAATTAATTAAAGAGTATGACCTCCGTCTCTGTGTTAGGAATTTTCCTAACTGGGGGCTTTTGTGATTAAACTCATAACTTTTTATCTAAAGTAGACTCCTTAAAAAAAACTATAGAAGAAGGAATCCCATGGACCTCAGGGCCACTATATCACCCCCTAGGCTTAAAATGAGCTAATTTTTGTATGATTGTAATTATTTGCTTCTCATTTGAGCCTCACAACATCCTGTGAGGTATTATTTTTCCTACTTTATAGATAGGGAAACTGAGGCTCAGAGAGGTCAAATGACTTGCCCATCCTCACAGAGCCACTAAGTGTCAAAGTCTGAATTCAAACCCATATCTTCCTGCTTCCAAATACTATACTCTTTTGACTATATACTAACTCTCTAAAGATAAAGAAATAGATGCTGCCTTCCACATTACAGCTGTTTATGTGCTTTAATGCAACTATCATAGTCCCTTTTTTTTCCAGGTTAGACATAGCTAGTTCCTTTAATCATTTTTCATACAAAATACTGTCCATACCATTCACTTTCTTCTTTAGCCTCCTTTCTAGGCTCTCTAGAATGCCAAGAATTGAATAAAATTTTTCAGATTTAGTTGGACCAGTGTAAAGTATTATCTCTTGTTCTGAATTTAAATGAATGCAATTTAAGATTGAAACAGCTTTCAAAGTAGATTTTTGCATTACCTTCTTTTATTTTAAATTATTATTTGGTAAACTGTTCCCCCATCAGATAGAGGTTGAAATTCTCTCCTAACACATTTCTATAAAATACCTGATGTAGCCTCAAGCCTTGTGCTAGGTGCTGTGTGTGATATAAAAGGTATATTTAAAAATATATATTTTCTATCCTCAATACATGACTCCTTTGGTGATGAAATGGCTAGCTTATTTTTCTTTTAGTTAATTAAGACTGAGGGGACTCTCCAAAACAGTCTAACTCAAGAAAACAATAACCCGTTGGATAAGAGGAGAAACCATCCTGTATTATCAAATACAGGCTTATAAAAAGATACTGGCACAGTGGATAGAGCACTTGACTTGGAATCAGGAAGACTTGTCTTCATGAATTCAAATCTGGCCTCAGATGCTTACTAGCTAGGCAAGTCACTTCATCCTGTTTGCCTCAGTTTTCTCATCGGTAAAATGAGTTGAAGAAGGAAATAGCAAACCACTCCAGCATCTGTGCCAAGAAAACCCCAAAGAAGGTCACAAAGAGTCAGAAACAACTGAAATAACTCAAAAACAACAATAACATAACACAGAGATGGAAAAATAAATAGATAAAAATAATTTCTCACTAGAATAACTGATTTATAGAATCTCAGCACAAGGCAACACCTCAGTGGTCATCTAGTCCAATTCATAACTGAACAGGAATCCCCTCTACAACATCCCAGAGAAGGATTCATGTAAGATTAAGGGAAGATCCTCTCTGATGATGCTTTGGTACCTCCCAAAGTGGTCCACTCTGTTTTGGGTACCTCTAATGGTTAGGAAGCCTTTCATATTGCTTGAAATTCTGTTAGTGAGTTCCTCTTTAAGATGTAAATTCCATGCCAGTCTTCCTACCTTTGCAAATTGTGCAGTCCTCTTAAAGTTGGCCAACAGCAGGATTTTTACATACCTTTTTTCATCTGCTATTATGAGGAATAAGATCTTTCCCTTTTACTAAGGAGAAAGGGCTTGTGAAATACTGATTAAAATTTCAAAATAGGAATCCACAGAGTGTGGTTCTAGTCTGCAGTTCATACATTCTATGCCTCATTGTCACCAGTCTTGGAAACCATAATTTCATGTCATCAGTTCTTTCCTTTCTTCTCCCAATACCCCTCCTACATACATAAGGTACTCTCACATGGTCAGAAAAATACAATGATCTAGTCAATATTTTGTTAAATTAATAAAAAAATTTTTTAAAGATGGAGGAGTAGCACTGCCTAGAGGATACAGCATTAGACATGGAGTGGGAAGACTGAGGTTCTTGAGCTGTATATGATGCGTACCAACTGGGTTACTATGGGCAAGTCACTAAACATCTTAGTGCCTCAGACAAATCCCCCAGTCGTAGGCTGGTTGTTTTGATGGAGGGACTTCCTGTAATGGAGTTTCTCTGCCTAATGAAATTGACCTAATGAAATTTCAGATAATTTAAGAATGGAAATACCATGGAAATTTGTAGTAGTTGAGGCTCCCTTTGTATCACCAAACCATTTGAGTTAGAGTTCCAAAGAAAGATCTCTGGTAAATTAGTAAAGAAGAACATGGTTCATATAAAGCCCAGTGGAGAACATAAGTAATGGTGTTGTTCTGAATTATCAAAGAAATTTAAATTAGACTCTTCTACAAGTATTGCTCATGCAGTTGTAGGTTAATTGCTTCTCTTTGTTTTTAGAACTCGTTAAAAATTACAACATTTGTATTTTTTAATTGGGATAAGATGAAGGAAGGAAATCTTTTTAAAGCAAATTATATTTTAATTTTTTAAGGAACAAATTTTAATTTAGATGATGGTGGTAAGTGCTAAGGAGAAATTTCTCAATACAACCCATATATAACAAATTCTCAATCAGGGTACTTTCCCAGGGATTGCTCCTAATGACAACTACCTAAATGTATGAATTAGGAACCAAAACTTTAAAAAATTCCTTTTAGAGAATGCAATTTTTATAGATACACATTTGTATGTATCCAAATAGTTGATATGACCTTAACATCCAGTTTACCCCCTAAATGGTTTGAATGTTCATAGCTATTTGCAAATTGTCTTCCTCACTAGAATGTGAGATCCTTGAGGGCAGGTACGGTTTTTGCCTTTCTTTGACTCTCACCACTTAGCACAGCTCCTGGTACACAGTAAACACTTAACAAACGTTTGATGACTTGATTTGACAGTTGCATAGCATAATATTTTGGCATGATAGAAATATAATACTCAGACAGAAATGAACTCCTACCTCTAAAAGTGTCCAGAACTATTCAGTATGGCTGGGTGATGAGATATCATCAGCATGGTGTAATAGAAAGAGTGCTGGTTTTGGGTCAGAGGATCTCATGTTAAATATTAGTTACACCCTTACTACCTATGTGAACTAGAGTAAGTCACTTGTCCTCTACAGAACTCAATTTCCTAAGGTATAAAGTGAAAAGGTTGTAGTAGGCGGCTTCATAACAATATTCTATTTGGAACAAAACCCTTCTTTCGATTTCCTGATATTGCTATTTTTTGCTAAAATGGAGAAATTGACTTGTCTCTTCTTGCCATCTGTCACTGACCAACCTTCAGCATTATAAAGCTTTACTATGGAATTAAAGGGAAAGGTAAAGCAAAATCTATTGACACACACAATTTAGGATCATCAAGAGTGCGAAGAGCTAGCGACCTTTTTCAGTGAACCCCTCTGATCTCCCAAGCTCGGTGCCACTCTATTTTCTCTTTAGGTTTTCTTTCCTTTTCTCAGGTTCTAGAAAATATTCACTAGTTTTTTACAGCAACTAGGCTGTCTAATAGAACACGAAGGTGATGACTTACTTGTAAATTGGATTTAAGTGAGACAGAACTGCACAAAGTTGTCAGCCTCCCTGTCACCTGAGTCCAGTGGTAAGACAAAAGCCAAGATGACTGGCAATAGGCCAGAATGCAGTGGGTGACAGTGGGTTTTCTAAATTAAGGTCTATCTGAAGTTTCAGTTTGCTGAGGCAATGCCCATTCAATGCCTAAGGGCTAAGGAAGAATCGGCAGGTTAGTAAACTGAGGCTGAATTTGAGTGACTTGTCCAGAGTCATCCAGATAATAAGCGTATGAGGCAAGATGTGAACTCAGGCCTTCCTGACTCTAAGACTAGCAGAAGAGAAGAAAATCGTCTCTTCTTCCTAACCCTGCCCCCCCACCCCAACCCTACCCTCTACCTTGCTAAAAATCAGTCATGTGGTTTTGAAGGGGAGCTATTGAGTCATCCAGAGACACATTCTAGAAAAAGATGTAAAGAGATAGCCACCCAAGTCAGGTAGTAGCTTCAAAAAAAAGAGTGACCCTGACAATTAAGAGGAAGAGACTCTGACAACTTAGCAAGAGGATTCTACAAAGAGAGAAAGGCTTTCTAGACCCTGAATTTACAGCAATTTCAAGCTGTCTTTGTTACATACATATCCTACATATTTGTCTTGCTGCCATCAAGCATCCTTCGAGCTCACCCTTCCTATGGACACTGAGTGTATTTGTGGGAGAGTGCACCCTAGTTTTATGGAAAAAAGACTTTGCAACTACTATTCTTGCAATGCCATTTGAGTAAATACCTTTGCTAAGAGATCATTGAGACCACTGGCTGATTGTTGATGGGAGGCATATTGTGATCTAGACATAGAGGGGTCAAATACACGCCCCTCCAAATTCCCTAGTGCAGCCTGAGCCTGGTTAAAATGTGTTTGGGAAATGGCTAACAAAACTAATAAAAGTACAGTGCAACATAGAAATAGTGATGTGAATTTGTGGTTTTCTAAATCAAGATGTGGGCAGAAGGGATCTGTTTCCATTTGAGTTTGACAATGATGGGGATGGGGACCCCTAAAAGGAAAAGACCATATCTTTGGTATCTGGACCCCAAAAAAGAAACTTCCTGGACTTTCCCCAAATCTCTGGCATTTGCCTGAGGCTATAATCCCCTCAGCTGGCCTTTTATTGTGGCTATGCCCAATCTCCCAATTTTGTTCTGTTGCCTCTCCATTGCTCCTGGCCACTTCCCACCCTTAATCCTATGTAGACTCCGTTCTTTCTTGCTCACATGGTCCAGGTCCCTGGCATTCTGTTACCCCACCTCAGACTGCTTGGCCACTCCTGGATTCCTTCCACAGTCTTTCTGTATGTAAGATTCATCTTGTCTCCATTAAGGCATGCAGATTCTTATAATCTAGCCACTAGCTCACAGATGCTCAGATTCTTTAAGAATATGGCCAGTATGGTGGATCTTTAATAAATCTTTTCTTTGGCTGAAAGAAGGCTTGGGTTGAATTCGTTGGGCAGGATCCACATGTCATGATTTTGGGGTTCCAGCACCTCTAAACCTCTAATCCTCAACAACACCACCAATCTAGAATACTAAAACATGGCTCCTTAGATTTACCCCTAGAACTTGACATAGCAGCTACCCTCTAGGGCTGTGGGTGCCAGTGACAAGTTGTAGGAATAGTCCAGAGGGCACTAAATTATGTAGTGTCTTCACATTTAAAAATAATAGTGACATGGTTATAGAGGCAACATTGTGATAGTACAGTATTGAGCTTGGAGTCAGAAAGATTTGGGTTCAAATCATACCTCTGTTCTTTAAGAGAACAAAAGTGATAATCATGTGTTAAGCACCTACTATGTGCCAGGCAATGTGCTAAGCCCTTTACAAATATGCTTTCATTTGATCCTTACAACAATTTGTGAAGTAGGTAGGTCCTTATTAATTGGATGACTATAAACAAGTCACTTAAACTCTTGTGGTATCAGGTAGCCCTCTAGTATGTACCAGTTAAGTCAGGGAAGGTTTTCAATCCTTTTGTGAAGGGAGCTTCCCTCGTGATAGAAATCACAGATAATAAAAAGAATCATAGAGTTAGAGCTAGAAAGACCCCTGAAGTCATTTAATTGAAAAAACTTCATTTTATGGTTGAAGAAACTGAGATAGAGCACATGGGTTATTAGTGTCAGAAACAGGATACTTCCTATGGTTTATTAGCAGGTTGCCCACAGATTGAGTGATAGTTTTTTGACCCAAAAAAACTCCCGAAGACCAGCTACCAAATTTGCCATCTAGTTGGGGGTAAAGGAGGAACACAAATGAATGAAGTCATGAGTCATTGAAGTATTAAAATTATATTTCCTTTTTTTTCTTAAATCACATTGTCAGAAAAATGAATATTTGGCTTCAGCCACTTTCTCCCAGATCCAAGTTAGTTTATGTTTTCTGACTGCCAAAAAGAAGTAAAACAAAACAAAACACAATGGGAAGAAATCATTCTGCAGAAGTTCTGAGATGGTCCTGGGTAGGTGGCTAGAAATAAAGTTTACCCAGGCAGTAGAAGCAAGTGTTTAACGATGCACAGTTTATATGCTTTGGGAATTTTGATTTTCACCCTCTTCAGTTAACCTTATGGGGAGTAGAGGGGGGAAGGAGAAGGAAACTCAAATTAGTCTTTGTAAATTATTCTGTCACTTATAATAACCCTAAAGCAGTTGTTCAAATCTTTCAGGCTGGTATCATCTGTCACATTAATTGTAGGCAATTACACTATCTCTTTGCCATGAAAATTAGACTTAGAGACTTCAGCGACAAAAATGAAAAACAATATATTTTTAAAAACAACCTAAAACTTTTGGCTCTGGTTAAGCTTGGCTAAATTATTTTTTAACTGGGCAATCTTTAAGTAACAACTTTGAACCAAAATCCTAAAATTTTAATATTTAAATGTTCTGGATCTATACTCTGTAAATATTTGAAGCACATTTTTTTTTCTAAAACTTTGGTATTGATCTTCCAACAGGTATTTATCCCAAACCCAACCCACCCTATCGTCCTCAACCTGGAAGCTATGACAATCCCGGAGGTAAGAATTCTAGAAATTACATGTATTAGATATTATATTTACTGCATTTCAGAAATGGCTTAATATTTTTTCTGGTGAGCTATTTGAAATTTTAGCTTGGTTGTGAATAATTGTAATAATTTAAAAAACAAAAAGGTTGAAGCAATTGTATAACAAGTAAAATGGCAAAAGTTTTATTTTTTTTCTCTGCAACTTTCCCCAATACTCAAACCTAAAATTAAAGAAAATATATGCTACATACAGATTAATTATAGTTGAATAAACAAGATAATAAGATGGATTGACTAAACTAGGTAAAAGCAGAGATGAATCATATCTCACTTTCCCTGCAGCAGCCAATCATGGATCTTGTCAAAGAACGCATACTCTTTACCCTTAGAACTCAATTCTCACCCACTTTCCCTGTCCTTTGAAAGCTCCTGTCTTTCCCCTATCTGAGTTGGGAGCACTGATAATCTAACTTCAAACCTAGGCACCAATAGGAGCAGCTTTGAAGGTGCCATTGGGGAAAATCTTACCCTAGCTTTCAGTATACTCGTCAGGAAAGAACAAAAATTATCAGAATTCATTACCAAAAAATGTTTGGAGAATACAAGACAGTGAGGCTAATAGATAGATAGATAGATAGATAGATAGATAGAGATATATAGGTATATAGATAGATAGATATAGTTGTGGCTAGACAAAGATCAAGCAGTGAGGTGTAACCAAAGCAGTAAAGTATAATGGCAACAACTAGGCAAGTTTGCTAGTGAGAAAAAGTCTGTTCATAACAGGACTATGACTAGAACCTGGTTCCTGCAGGTGCTTATCCAAGCTCAGGGGACCACCTGGAGCTGGTGTGAGCCAATTCTGTAATTTTGCTGCAGCAGAATTCATCCAGAGGATGAGCGAAAAGGATCGTTGTTATGCCAAGCTCAGGACATAGCTTACTTAAGGCCTTAACTCTGGGAAACAGAGTGTCTCCTAATAGTAAGAAAAGAGAGGAGTAAAAAGAGGAGTGGTCTTGGAGTGGGAGTCTTGACATCCTACTAATCTTCCCCACCAACCCTCTACTCCCTCCCCTATCATACACAATAGAAAGCCAGTGTATTGTGGAGTCTTTGGAAAAAAGGAGAAACAACAGTGCACCAAGGCTATAGGGGCTGCCCTGGGGGCCTATCAAAGGCCTCATGAGAGATGTTAATTCAATTTATATAAGTGATAGAATGGGTTGGGGGGGGTGGCCCTGATTATGGGAGATTTAGAAGAATGAGTGGGATGTTCATACCAAGTCAAGAGGACCTGAGGTCAAATCTGGCTTCAGACACACAACACTCACTATCTGTGTGACTGTGGGTGAGTCATTTAACCCCAGTGGCTTCACAAAAAAAAAAAGTGAAAGGCATTTCGGTTGGCTAAAAGGTTAGTGAAAGTTGTAGTATGACTGTCAAAAAAAGTTAACATACTCTTTAACTGCATATGTAGAACTAAAGTGTACAGATTAAAGGAGATAATAGTCCCATTACAGCTCACACGTGGTATGCCATTCTTATTTCTAAATGCTGCATTTTAAGAAGGGAATTGATAGAATGAAGACAGAAGGCAATCAAGATAGTGAAAAACCTGAAAACAATATCATAGGAAGACCATATGGGGGATTCATATCCTAGAAAGGAAAAGACTCACTCAGAGAGAGAGCAAATAAAGATTTAAAGATCTATCATATGAATGAATATGTCTGTGTAACTCTGTTCCTCATTATTATTTCAGAAATTGAAAAATAAAATAAAATTGATCATTTCAATTTTTTATTCTCTTGCGAAAAAAAGATAATTTTACATATTATATTTTGCTTTACATCAACAGGTAACATTAATGATTTAGATTTGGATGATGGACGCTCCCCACCCAGACCTCGGCCACGACCTCCAGCAGGTATGATAGATGGTGCATTATTTACATTGTATTCACTCAGTCAGTAAGCATTTGTTAAGTGCCTAACATATGTCAGGCACTGTGTTAAGTTCTAGAGATACAAAGAGAGACAAATGATGGTCTCTGTTGTTAAGGAGCTCACAGTCTACTGGAGGAAGACAATAAGCAAATGTACAAACAAGCTATATACAAGATAAATGGGAGATAATTAACAGAGGGAAGGTACTGGAATTGAGATAAATTGGGAAAGGCTTCCTGTAGAATTAGGGATTTTAGTTGGGACTTGAAGTAATCCAAGGGAAGCCAGTAAGCAGACAGGAGAAGGGTGAGCTTTCAGACATAGGAGATAGCCAGAGAAAATGCCTAGAACTAAGACAATGTAATGTGTAAGAAGGCTAGAAAAGTAAGGTAGTGGTGGGGAGAACATTACGAAGAGTTTTGAACATTAGAAAGAGGATTTCGTATTTGATCCTGATGGTGATAGGGAGTCAGTGGAGTTTATTGAGTATATGTGGAGGTGATATAGTCACACCTGTGCTTCCAGAATATCATTTTGGCAGCTGAATAGAGGGTGTAATGGAATAGGGAGAGACTTAAGTCAGGCTGTTTGGAGTAGCCCAGGTGTGAAGTGATGAAGGCCTGCACCAAGATGTAGCAGTATCAGAGGACAGAAGGGACAATTCAGGATGTTGCAAAAGTGAAATCAACATACCTTGGTGACAGATTAGCTATGGGGTGGGGTGGGATGGGAGTAGTGTGAGAGATGGTGAAGAGCTGAGGCTGTGAGCTTGGGGGACTAGAGGATAATGGTGCCTTCAACAATAATAGGAAAGTTTGGTAGGGGCAAAGGGTTTAGGGGAAAACCTGAGTTCAGTTTTGGGCATGTTGAGTTTAAGATGTCTACTGGACATCCAGTCAGAGATATCTGAAAGGCAGTTGGAAATGCAAGACTGGAGATCTAACTGATAGCTGATATCACTACAGTATGATTCCCTTTAACCATGAATAGATTTTTTTTATTTAGGAAAGCTAGATGGACCGATGGATAGAGAACTGAGCCTGGAGTCAGGAAGACCTGTATTCAAATCCAATCTCAGATATTTACTAGCAAGTCACTTAACTTCTGTCTGCTTTAAAATGAATATAATAATAGGACCTACCTCCCAGGATTGTAGCGAGGATAAAATGAAATAGTGTTTATAAAGCATTTTGCAAACCTTAAGGCACTGTGTAAATGCTAGCCATTATTTAGTGCACGATGGTCAATTAACAAATGTTTTAGAATGATAATGACGATGACAATGATAACAGTACAGAAGATCTAAATTCTAGTGCTTTGAGGTTGGGTCTAGGTATCTACTTTATATATGACATTTGGAGGAGCTCTTAAAGTGGGAAAAGTCAATGACGCAACAGGGACTTTGAAAATAATAATTTTTAAACTTTTGGTTCCTTCTTAATAGTGGTGTTATACATTTTTCTCTACCACCTGGAAAAATTAAAACTCATACTGAAGTATATTACATGTATAATGAAATAAATAGCAGGAATGATATAAATGGCACTTTCATTGTTAGACATAATGCTCTAATTAAATATTTAATGTTTAGAATCTTATTTTCAAATGTGTGGTGTTTTCTAACTTAATTAATCCTGAGATTTTGTCACATTGAAAAGAAATTACCTTTTGGGGGGGGATGGTGGTAGGGATAAAATCATATCCTAGAAGTTGCCTTTAGAAAAGATAATTCTTATCTTTTATTTGGGGCAGTTTCCTCTCAGTAAAAATATTTTATTCAAAACTCAAATGCACTGAAATGATGGATATTTCTGCTTTAAAGATTTTTTAAAAGCATTAAAAATGTAAGCCAAATTTAACATCAAAGCCTCTAAATTTATAAGTTTGAAATTATATAAAACTGTGAATCAGGAGACCTGTTGATTGGGTGAGTCTCATAATGCTTCTTATAAATGCAATCATGTATTTCTGTTTGAAGTGTTAGTCCCAATTTTCTTTCCTGCAGGAGGAGGAGGATACCATTCCAATAATTTTGGCAACACTCATGGTAAAAGTATGACTTGGGAAGGCTGAGATGAAACAGCATTTTTGTAGGGCCCAACATCTGAAGTGAGCTGTCCCTTACAAAGAACTAATTCTTTCTGCAGGGCCACCCACTGAGTTTGAGCTCTCTAAGCTATTGCTTTTCTGTCTCTGGCAATTTAATTGTCTTTGCTTCTCTTTTGGGTTAACCTTAAAGACTCGTGGGCTTTATTGAATCAGCAAGCTTAGCTTATTAGTTAGCATGTCCCTTACATAAGGAATGTTTTTTGGCTGGAAATTCTGGGCTTCATCTGAGTAAACTTTCATTAATTTGGTATTTTTTGTTTCCTGCAGGAGGAGGGGGCTATAACTCCAATTACAATAACCATGGTAAATGCATGATTTGAGAGGAAGGAACTCTTTTTTAAAAAAAAGGTTTCCAGTTATATATGAGCTTTTCCCATCAGGGAATGGGTTTACATTGTGTATCTGAGGGTCCACTGCTTTATGTTTGCCCTCTCTGATGATTTCTCCACCTTTCACATCTGCACTCTCTGGCTGGCCATTCTTTCTTTGGTTTGCCATGATACTGTAGCACCATAGGTCATGGATTTTACGATTAAATTTAGATAGGATGGAAGCAAAACATTCTTTACCAACACAAAACTATTAGAATTAAGTTCAGAGATCTTTGGTATACTAAAGTGGTTATAAATCTGCTTCACTAAGACCTTCATTGAAATTTTAAGGGGAGAAAATATTTGATCCTCTACTGCAGACCACATGGCATTCTAGGACCTTGTTATCCAAAACCCTTGTGGTCCAGAAAAGAAAGCTTTCCTGGATTCTCTTCTTGGTAGGTGATTTAACACTTCCCTCTAGATCATGATTTCTATGCAGGGCTTGCTAGAAGTGGTTACTCCCCAACCTTACCTTCGTTAAAATATTTATGTTTGTCATTTTAAAATAAATTAACTCATCCAGTAAGTTTTCTAATGGGCCAGTGATTATTTTCTACTAAGTTTTCCCCAAAAAAAACTGTTCATAATTATAGATACATGGTAATATTCTTAAGAAAATAATTGTCCTTCATGATGGAAAATGGCTATTCATATCCAGAAGAAGAACTGATGGATTCTGGATGCAGATAGAGGCAAACTATGTTCACTTTCTTAATTTTTTTCATGGTGTTTTCCTTTTGGTCTGTTTCTTTCACAGCATGACTAATACGGAAATATGTTTTACATGATTGCACATGTATAACCTATATCAGATTGGTTGCCATTTTAGAGAGGGAGTAGAGGAGGGAGGGAGAAAAATTTGGAACTAAAAATTAAAAAAAAAATTAATGTTGGAAATTGTCTTTACATGTAATTGGAAAAAAATAGAATGCTATTTCTTTAAAAAAAAAATAAAGAATTAGGGGCAGCTAGGTGGCGCAGTGGATAGAACACCCTCCCTGGATTCAGGAGGACCTGAGTTCAAATCCAGTCTCAGACACATAACACGTGCTAGCTGTGTGACCCTGGGCAAGTCACTTAACCCCATTGCTTAGTTTCCCCCCCCCAAAAAAAAAGTAACATTAAAAAAAATAAAGAATTGTCTGGCTGCTTAGCATGGCCCAAGCTTATGAGGTGTGCTACTGTCCCTAGAACCAGAACAGGATAGCTACCAAACTATTCTATTATTTATTATTTATTGGCTTTGCCTGGGTCACAAACAAATAGCAGTGGCAATGGCTTTACAGAACTTCTCTTGGAAACATCTTCCTGGGAAAATGTCTTCTTAAGTCCAGCTCTCTTGTTAAAAGAGGAGCACACTCTTTTCCCGGTCCTGGATCATTTATAAAGGATTTCCACCTTTCTGTAATATCCATGAGTAAGGTAAACAGGATCAGCCCTAAAACTATGACTAAGAAGATTAAAAAGAATCCCAAAGGCTTGAATAAATCAGGGTGAGTCATCTGTTTTTGGTAAAAACACTATTCAACCTGGGAAGTGACCAAACTTGTTTTAGATTACTGGTCTAGGCTGTTTCTTCTCATCCCTAATGGTGAAGAGAGAGAATTCCCTTTTCCCTTCGTGTTTCTCCGAGTCCAACTAATAACTGAAAAGATGACATGCTCCTGCTGAGGAGACAGGAGAGAAAGGAACAAGAATATTATCTCATTTGTCCTACCTCCGGTTTTCCTGAGCCTGGCTTTTAGTGGCCAAGATCCTAGGACACTATCACAAGATCGTATATTTTAAACTGGAAGGGACCTTAGAAGTCATATTGTCTAAAACCTCCCTTTTCTGAATGAAAAAAAATGAAACCCTGAGGGGTTAAATAAATTGTCCAAGGCCACACAGGTAGTAAGTAGCAGAGCCAGGACTGGAATCTAGATCTTCTGACTCTAAATCCAATGACATTTCTTCAGCACCATGCTACTAAACAGTTTGAGGTAATTAAAAGAAAAAAGATCCCCTTGTGTCAGAGACAAGTTCTTATGAATAAGCAATTTCCCTCAAAGAGAAGTTACCTTTCTGCGTTATCAGATATAATGTTTTCAGATAATGGCTATGTTCATTTTTAAATTAAAAAAACATTTTATTGATATGTTTGCTTTTAAACCATGGCTTATTTCCTATTACTAATGACTCATCCCACTAATAATGAAACCCTCTCTTGTAATAAAAAAAAAACATTCCACATTCCAAATCCACATTTCTGTCTCTGGAGAACAGCATCTCCAAACAGATATCCATCCTTAAAATTTAACAAAATTTGGCTGTCTTTCAGTGTTGCTTTCATTTACTTTTCTATAGTCATTATGTATACTGTTCCTCTGATTCTGCTTACTTTGCTCTGTATTAGTTAATACAAACTTTCCCATGGTTCTTTGAATTCTTCACATTTATAATTTCTCATGGCAAAATTAAGTTCTATTTTGTTCATATATTGTAATTTGTTTATTCACCAACTGTTTCAAGTTTTTTGCTATCACAGAAAGTATTACTATGAATATTTTGGTATATATAGGATGTTTTTATTTAATTTTCTTGGGGTGTATACCCAAAAGAATATTATTATATTTTTAGGTTGAAATGTATGAATAAGTTAATGACTTTTTTTTGCATAATTCCTATTTGTATTCTAGAACAGTTTCACAAATCCACCAACAAGCTCCACCAGCAGTGTATTAGTGTGTCTAGCGTCACATATCTCTCCAACTGTTTTCATTTTTTCATAATCATTATTCGGATTTTTAAGTTTTAGTGACAAATTTTCTTCTTTATTTTGAATTTTTCTTAAAGAAACTGATATAAATATGTGGCATAAATAAATAACTCTCTGAATGAAACTCCCAGTCTTAGGTGTTTTTCCTCCTAGTTACCCAACTTAACACAATTTAGGCAACTATATTTTTCTCATGTTCCTTTAATCAAACCAAACCAAAAATAAGCCATATAGAGCTTTTTTGGGGTTGTTCCTGAAATATACCTTAGGCTGTGAGGGCTTAAATTTTACTGTTTTGTTATGTGAAATTGATTACTTACTTTGGGGATGAAAGCATACTAATTTTTTTTAGCTTTTACATCAGGTTGCATGGGACTGTGCATGCTGCATGAGCAAGAGTTGGGTTTGTTCTAAAGTCATACTTTATTGATAGCTTTTCCAACTTAATGCAATATTTTTCTCTCCTGTAGGAGGAGGGGGATATAATCCCAGTTCTCATTATGGAAATACTTATGGTAAATCAATTATTTTGTAACAGTGTTAAAGATGGAATTAAGAAAAGAGATGTGCTGGTAAATGTTTAACAAAATATTGCTCTTCAAAAAAATATTGCTCAGAAAAAGTTTAGTCTGCTTTATTAATATTGTCTCCATCACTTTCTTAAGTCTAGACATTCAACAAAACAACAAATCAAGCTCTGATTTGTAGTCTTTGTCAATTTCTGAGGGAGTAAATGCTTACATTGAAAATTGAACAGTGGGATCTCATGAGTCAGTTGGAGCTGGCCCCAGCACACCTCTGAAACGAACATTTTTTTGCAGACCCTGTGGCAGAATATATTCACTCTTCATTGTTTTGTTTATAACTATTGACTAATTAACTCTATATTTTCATATTTTTGTCTTGTCATCAGTCACCTAAGAGTATTTTGGGTGTGGTTTAGGTGTAATTAATTTTTTTTTATCTAGAGTTCTTTTGTAGTCACATTTTTTTCCCCCCTTCTAGGTGGAGGAGGATATTCAGATTATGGAAACACACACGGTAAATAAAAAACTATTTGATTGAGTTCTGCTGTGTAAGGGGAAGAAACTGTCATAGAGTGTTGGTATGGGTAATGCAGGTTTATTATAATGAAAGGGAAATGATACCTATCACTCTAGTCTATCTTATATTCTGGTGCCAAAGAAATTTTCCTTAAGCACAGATAGGACCATGTTACTTCTCTATTCAATTAATTGTTAGCTTCTTATTGTCTTGAGGATAAAATATAAACTCACCTTTTTAACTTTGAAATCCTTATATCACTTATTCCCACTCTACCTTTCTAACCTCAATTGACAATACTCCTCTTCCATCATTCTATGATTCCAACCAATCAAGTCTTTTTAAAGGTCCTCACATGTGACACTTCATTTCTTATCTCCTTTCTTTTGTATTCCCCATCCCCATGCTTGAAATTCACTCCCTCCTTACCTCTGTCATCTCTCAGAGTCCTTCTCTTCCCTTAAAATGAGGTTCAGACACCTTCTCCATGAAGCCAATTTTGATACTTAACTTCTAGTGGCCTCCTTCCCAAAGTACCTTGTATTTAGCATATACACACACACGTATGTATGTATGTATGTATGCATATACACATGTATTTATTAACTTTATGTTTATGCTGTACATAGTATCATCAATACTTATCTCCCCTAACAGAATATAAGATCATTAATGGTAAGGGATTGTTTCATTCTTTTTTCCTAAATCCTCAGCACCTAATAAGGTGCTGGGCACAGACTGACACTTAATACTTAGAGGCTGATGAACTCCTTCCCATATTTCCCTAATGCATATATAGCAAATCACATCATGCTATATAGAACTCAAAGGATTTTTTGAGAAATGTTAGGAGACCCTGCTTGATGTCTCTCTATTCCCTGCAAAGTCCTTCTCTGATATTTTGTAGGACAGAAAAGTATATCAAATGGGAGGGCTTTCAAAAGGCCATGCCAGGACAACAGGGCTCTGGGTTTTGTTTTGGTTTGGTTTTTTTCCCTATTAATCCCCTGAAGTTTTCTATAAGTATTTTAAAATAGACTTTTTTTGTCGTTATGTTCTAAACATAATTCTTGTTTTGTTCTTCTCAGTGTCACATGGGTAGCTAGAATGTTATTTACGAATAACGAATTTCCATCTTGTTAAATTTTAAAAACTCCAACAATTTGTCTTCTTTATCACAGGTGACTCAATAGCTAGAATTGTTTCTCCCATTGTTTCTGTGGTTGTGGTATCACTTATTGGAGCAGCAACCAGCTATTTTGCTTACAACCGGAGGAGAAACTGCTGCCGAACAAATGGTGAGCTTCAAACTAGATTTTACAGATTTGTGTTAGTCTCAGCTTAGCCCTCACTGCTTCTAGGCAATCCTACTATACCTCCCTAATCAACTCATTCTTCCTCTCTCCTCAGTGACTCGCTCTCTCCCAACTCCCTCAGTAGAGAACTTTGTCCTATATTTTACAGAAAAAAATTGAGGCCATTTGTCATGAGCTCCCCCTGCTCCCTTCTTCTTCACCTCCTATCACCCATATGGCTTCTGCCACTCTCTCTTTTTCACCATTGTTTCACATGAAGTGGCCTTACTCTTTACCAAGGCTGACCCCTTTACTTGTTTAAGTGATCCCATTCCATCCCATCTCCTCCAACAGATTGCTCCCTCTGTCATCCTCACTCTCTCCTCTGCCTCTCTACTGGCTCTTTCCTACTGCCTAAGAGCATTCCAGTGTCTCTCCCATCCCAAAAAAAGCCCTCACTTGATCTTTCCATTCCTGCTCACTATTGTCCTGTTTCTCTTCTGTCCTTTGTAGCTAAACTCTTTGTAAAGGTAGTCTATAACAGGCACCCCTACTTTCTTTTCTCTCACTCTCTTCTTAACTCCCCATAATTTGGCTTCTAACTGTATCGTTCCATCAAAACTGCTCTCTCCAGAGTTACTAATGTTCTCCTAATTGTCAAATCCAATGTCCTTTTCTCAATCTCACTCCTTGACCTCTTTGCAGCTTTTGACACTGTGAAATCATTCTTTCCTCCTTGATGCTCTCTTTTCTCTAAGATTTTGGGACATCGTTGTCTCCTGGTTTTCCTCCTACCTATCTGATTACTACTTCTCTGTCTCCTTTGCTGGATCCTCCTCTTGGTCATGCCTTCTAATCAAAAATGTCCTTAAGTGTTCTGTACTGGGTCCTCTTCTCTTCTCCCTCTATACTGCTTCACTTGGTGATCTCATCAGCTCCCATGGATTTAATTTCCAGCCCCAATCTCTCTCCTGACCTCCAGCTGCCCTTTAGATATCTCTAACTCATTGTTCAGCAAATATCTCAAACCCAACATGTCCAAATACACCTACTATCTTTTCCCCTAAACTATTCTCCATCCCCCTCCTACCTTCCCTATTACTGTGAAGGACTACACAGATTATTTTTGTTCTCAAAGAGGACCATGACATCAGGAAGGTTATGTCAGGATTTGCAAGTGACTTGGACTTGAATGAGGAAGGGCAGTGCAAAGTCACCAACCTCATTGTCTTCTCCAGAGCCATCTGGGCCCAGTGGGGAGATATAGATCAGGGCAATTGGAGATGTCCCTGGATGCAGTGCGAAACTTTGGCCTTTTTAAGCCCTCTCCAGTTGACCTGTTCTACATCTTGCTCTGGGCCTTGATGGCTCTGGAGGAAAAAGTGAAACTGGTTACTTTGCATATCTCTCCTTACTTAAATCCAATTCATTTGCAAGTCATGGCATCACCTTCCTGAAGTCATGGTCTTCTTCCAGAAGGAAGAACAAATAACAACAACAAAGGGCAATACCATAATCCCAGGCTCTCAGGCTCACAATGTAGGAGTTCTCCTGGATTTCTTACTATTTCTCACATCCCATATCCAATCTGTTTCCAAGGCCTGTTGACTTCACCTTTGCAACACCACTCGAACATGTCCCCTTCTCTCCTGCCACCACTCTAGTGCAGGACCTCATCACCTCACCCCTGGATTATTACAAGAGCCTGCTGGTGGGTCTGTTTGCTTCAAGTCCCTTCTCACTCCAGTCCATCTTTCATTCAGCCACTAAAGTGATTTTCCTAAAATGTAGATCCAATCATGCCATTCCTTGTCCCTTCTCATCCCCCTAATAAACTCCAGTGACTTCCTGCTGCCTGCAGTAGCAAATACAAAATGCTTTTTTGGAATTCTGATAGTAAGTGATAAATAGAGGTCTTCTGAAATCCCAGGCCTTCTGCCTCCAAGGGTCCCATCATGCTGCCTCCCCATTAATACAGTTATAGATATAGACAGCAAGACTTTCCACATTCAGCAATACCAAAGAAAAACCTTAACTTTTTTTCTGTGAAATTTTTCATTCATTGATAATTCGTTTTTAAAAATGCATGTAAAACATGAAATTTTTTATTCAAAAAGTCGCAAAAGAAATAGAAGCTTTCTGCTGAGTAGTTTAGCAGGCTAAATAAGGCACCTGGCAGGAGGCATCAGCTCTCCCAGAAGCTACACCGAAGGGCTTTGATTGGCCAGGTGCAGTTACTGGGCCACAATATTCATATTTAATTTTATTTTAAATCCATAAAGACAACTCTAAAGACAGATCAGAAAAGAGGAAATGGTGCTTGATCCCAGCAACATTAATTAAAAATGTAAATATAGGCCCCATCCTGGGGTGTTATGGATCTTACCTTTATTTTCCTGTATGAAGATATAAGAATTGTGATCAGATGTCACATTTTGAGCTTATAAATTAGAATTTTTTAGCTTTGGCCTCAATCTTCTGTAAATTGTGAGATGGTCTCCCTCTGCTGGCAGCTGAGCAAGACTGCAATGTCATGTCTCACTAAAGTCAGACCTCTCTTACACGTTTTCGTAAATAAATTTATGAAAGACAAATTACACCATTATAGATCATTTTTGTCTTTATTTTTGATTGCTCTCCAGTTGACAGGGGCTTCTAAGATCTAACATTTGCCCATCATCCTTATTAGATTTGTGCTTTTGGGGAAAGGGGATCCAGATCTGTGTTTTAACCAGTTCGAGGAACTCCCAACGTAGAAGCCCTCTTTATAAAGGCAACTCAATACCTTCCTATGTAGCAAGCTTCTCTAAAACATCCCTAAAGAATGGTCATCCAGTTTTTACTGAAAAGTTTGGCAAGGCAGTTAGCTGACAAGTGGATGGAGCCCTGGAACTGGAATCAGGAAGACCTGAGTTCAAATCTAGCATCAGATACTTATCAGCTATATAACTGTAGGCAAATAATTTTGCCTCTATCTGTGTCAGTTTCCTCATCTTCAAGATGGAAGTAATAATAGCACCTACATCCTAGGATTGTTCTGAGAGTCAAATACACATAAAGCATTTTGCAAAACTTAAAGCACTATGTAAATGCTAGGTATTATTATTGACTATTATAAGGGGGAACCTAGTACTTCTGAAAGCATACACTTTTTGGCTAACTCTCATTTGTAGCGGGTTTCCCCCTCTCTTGTCACAAAGGCCAAATCTTTCCCCTCTGCAATTTCTAACCATTGCTCCTAGTTTTGCTCTCTGGGATCAAGCAAAATAAGTCTAATGTTTCTTCTATATGTTAACTCTTCAAATACTTAAAATCTTAGGATCAAAAGCTGATCACTGGGGCAGCTAGGTGGTGCAGTGGATAAAGCACCGGCCCTGAAATCAGGAGGACCTGAGTTCAAATCTGGCCTCAGACCGAACACTTGACATTTACTAGCTGTGTGACCCTGGGACAAGTCACTTAACCCCAATGGCCTTAAAAAAAAAAGTTGATAGCCAAAGGGGAACTTGGAGAACACTTAGTCCAATCTCTTCATTTTTCAAATGATGAAACTGAGTCCAAAGTATATGACTTGCCTAAACTTACTAAAGTTGTGATTGTGTGGTTTGTCCTTCATTCTCAAAGAGGACTGTGACATCAGGAAGATGATGCAATGACGTGCAAGTGGATTGGATTACAGTGAAAGTGGGCAGTGCAAAGTTACCAGCCTCACTTTCTCTTCCAGAGCCATCTGGGTCCCAGTGGCCAAATATAGATCAGGGCAACAGGAGATGGCCCAGGATACAGTGGGAGGCCTTGGCCTTTCTAAGCTAACGTCTTTCTGAGTTCTCATTTGATTGAGGTAATGCCCGTTCAGTGATTAGGGATGTTTAAGAAGTGAGCCAAAGGATAGCTCCTTTAATTTAAAAAAAAAAACTGGGAGTGGGAGACCCTCGGGCTGTTGCTGGCCAAAAGAGAAACAATTACTATTTACCTTCACTCTAAGCCATCAGGGCCCAAAAAATAACTGTTAAGTGGCCCTTGGCTAATCAATAAGAGTTAGAGTGAATTGGGTTTCATGCCTGGTCTTTAAGAAAAAAAAAATCTGTCCAATAAACCCCAAGATATTAAGGTAGGCTTCAGCCATCAGAATTTGCCTTACTACTTCAGGTAATGGCATGATGAAGAGAGGAGCTGAATTGGCCAACTGGAACGGGTCAGTTGGTTCCCAGTGGGGCAGCTCAGGTTACTAAAGAACAATGTTGGGGTACCACACTGCCTTCTGTGACAGCTTGAAGATAGCTATCATATTTCCCCTAGGATTTTTCTTCTGCAGGCTAAACATATCCAATTTCAACTGATCCTCATATAGTAAGTTCCAAAGGCTCTCATTATCTTGTTTTCCATTCTCTGGAAAGTTTCCAGCTATTTACAGTCTTTCCTAAAATATGGCATCTAGAACTAAATGTATGATTCCAGATATACTCTGATAAGGATAATTATTACCTCTCTTTTTTTTTTTTTGGACATTCTGCTTTTTATAATGTAGTCTAAGATATCATTAGCTTTTGGGGTCACTGTACTGGACTATTGACTCTTATTGAACTTGTAGTCCATTAGAAGTTCTAGCTCTTTTTCAGATTAACTAATACTGAGCCAAAACTACTTCATTTTATGTCTGTAAAGTTGACTTTTTGAACTTGTGTAGTATTTTGATTTTATGCTCATCTTGCTAAAATTAACCAGGCTTCTGGCATGTTTAGGTATTTTGGGATCCTCAATCTGTCATCTAACGTATTAGTTATTCCTCTTAACTTTGTGTCACCTAAAAATTTGATGAATGTGATATTTATGCCTTCCCTAAAATTATTGGAAAGAGTTGTTAAATGGCTGGAAATGTGTTGGATTTATAGTTGGAGGCCCAAAGGCTGAATCTGGGCTTTGCCACTTATTATCATTTGACCTTGGAAATATCACTTAATCTTTATGGGCCTCAGTTCCTCATGGGTTAAGATGAAGAGGTTGGACAAGATGTTTTCTGAAGTTCTTTCCAGGCCTAGACCTTTGATCCCATGGACACAGGACAGATCCTTAAAACAAAGAGACTTTGTTTTTGTTTATTAACATATTAATACTAATGCTAGTGATTATTTTAGAAGTTTTGGTCATCCAAAATCTACCTAACTCTACTATCATTTGTATTTGTCTACAAGTTTAAAACGTCAAACGCTTTGCTGAAATCTAGGTAAATTATATCTATATTGGGCACTCCAGAGAATAACATTTTCTTTATAATCTTCCTTTTCAGAGACAGAGAATGTCTGAAAGAGGCAGGAATCTGCAATGAATTTCACATGAACTGGAAAAAGATGGGAATGGACATGTATGTTATATGGATTTTTTCTGTGTGTGCAATGAGGACCCACCGACCTATTAAAAGAATTTTCTTCTCCTAAAACATCCGATTCACCTAAATGAGAATTCCAAATTTCTTTATATATAATGAGGATACAAGGATATTTACCTCAAATATAATGATGCTTACAAAAAAAAGAAGTCTGATTTAATAGCTATATTATTTAATGTGGAAATGAGAACTTGGACTCTGTTCCTAGTTCTTAGAAAACCTTTTATAATAATGTACAAATGATTTAACTCCATTGCTTCTGTCATGATGCCTGACTAGCACAGTTTCGGGGGACAACTATAGATGTGCATAGTACCCCAATCCATACACATTTGGTGGCAGAAAAGATGAAGAAGATAGCCCATTCTAATGCTATTTTTGTGGAGAAACTCACCAGCACAAATGATAACAGTTTTTATTTCAACTGTACACCTTTATTATGAGTGAAATTGAGTTACTTATTTCCAACATTGATAGGAAAACCTGGATATTGCACTGTCAGCTGATATTTCTGTGACCATTAGGGCATCGTTATTAGGAGAAAGCTAAATGAGATTATTAAATTGAGATTATAAATGCAAAGTACTAAAAACAAAATTCCTAGAGCAATGATTTTGAACCATTGTTCCATTCTTCTTAGGATTTTTTTTAAAAATAAAAGCTAGATATATAGACTATTTTGAGTCATTATAACTTCTAGCTTTTTGATTTGTTGCCATAAGTGCTGAGATTTAATTCATATCAATATTCCACTTCCTTCAATGTGATACCTTTGTATCATCACATGGAAATTTTTTAATGCTTTAACCTCAGCAATTATATTGAAATGTTTATATATGAATGTGTATTTCCATCACTAGAATTCAAGCTCCTTGAGGGGGAAGATTGTTTCTTTCCTTTTCCTTATATCCCTAGGACCTAACATGGTACCTGGTACTTCAATGGTGCTTAATAATTATTTTTGATTGATTAATTAATAAGACATACATGGCACCAGTTTCTGAAGGAAAACTAAAGAGGTACTTAGTTATTCATGGCAGGTATGCTCAGCAATATTGAAAAAAAATGGCAAAAAACCTACTCCTTGGTTTAGTACAGTGGAAGAGCTAAACTCTTCACAAGATCTTAAATTCAGAAATGGACCAAATCTGATCCAGCTGCCACCTACTACCTTCACCTACATGTTGTTTTGGGGGAATGAGAAAGGGGAATGCTTTGCTGTAAGTGTTTATTAATAAATGAAACTTTATGTAATATAGAATGGATGCATAATTTTTCAAATCCTGTTGAAATCTCACTACCGACTGGCCCCACGGAGCTAAAATCTGTGAATTGCTTTGTCCTACAGCTTATTGGTTTTTAAGACTTCAACTTAAGAAGTTGGGATAAAAAAAACATTTCAAAGGATTTCAAACCATGAGACAGACTGGAAACAAAACAAAACAAAAACACCAAAACCAGCTAAAACATTAATGTAGAGTATCATTACCATATAACACTGAATCACATGTGAATTACATGTAATTTGAACTCATCCTCATTTTGTCTCTCATTTAAATACATTTACGTGTATCTTACCTTGAAAGTACAAATATAATAATAATCACCCTATGTGATAATCTAGTTTGATATCTTAAAAATGTGCCCAACATATATATAAGCACATTGTAGGGTGTTTAGGAATTTTTTTAAATGAAATCTTTTAGTTTCTTACAGGGATGTTATAGAGTTGTTCCAATAATTTTTTAAAATATGTTTAAACAAAAAATAATCTTTTGTTTGTTACTTAGATGTTTGTATTATAAATGTTATTTAAAAAACGATTTATTGGGAAAACCATTTAATGTCAAAATTCTAAAACTACCTGTCATTGTATATAGTTAACCTATGTCTAAGTGAAATATACCATCTATTTTAAATTCCATGCACATTTGCCTTTTATTTTTAGTAATATATCATATAACTAATCTTTTCACATCCTCATAGATTTTAACAAAGGTAAGTGGGAAATAAGGCTTTGTACTGGTTCAAGAGACAGTGTCACAAAAATAGGGGCATTTATACATTTTTGGGATAAAGGTGTCAGAAATGAGAAAAAAAGCACTGAATATATAATTAATTTTAAATATAACTTGTTAAAAAAAACTATTATCAGGATTTATACTGTCTTCTGAGTTCCCGAGAAGTGTCTTAGCCACCATGGGAAAGCCTTCTGCAATTGAACCGAGGAAAGTGTTCATAACTTAGCAGAAGATTTCCATCAAATGTGAAAGATATTATCTTAAGACAATTTAAAAAATTATGAGCATTTATAATCTTTCTCCCCTGTCCCTTAACTGAATGATTAACAAAAATTGAACTCTCACAAAAATATTCATAGCTATGCAAAACAAATTTTGGACTTTGGCCATGTCCAAAAATGTGTATTATATTCTTCATTATAAGAAGCCATCACTTCTCTACCAGAGGTGGGTGGTGTGTATCATCTGCAGTCCTCTAGATTCATGGTTTATTATTGCAAAAATCAGAACTCTACTCACTTCTCTCTGAATATAGATATAGTCAATCTCATCATTTCCCGACACAATAATATTCCATTACATTTGTATACCACAATTTATTTTGCCATTTCCCAATATCTGGGCATGTCTTTAGTTACTGCTATTGGACTACAGTGAAGGAGAGATAATAAAGAATATCTAGTAGTAATAACTAACATTTATATAGCACTTAAACATTTGAAAAGTGCTTAACAAGGGGCAGCTAGGTGGTGCGGTGGATAGAGCACTGGCCCTGAAGTCAGGAGGACCTGAGTTCACATCTGGCCTCAGACCAAACACTTGACACTTACTAGCTGTGTGACTCTAGGCAAGTCACTTAACCCCAACTGCCTAAAAAAAAAAAAAGTGCTTAACATATTTTATTTTATTTGATCCTATTAACCACCCTGTGAATCAGTCAATCTATAAATGTTTATTAAACCCCAACTATGTGATAGGCATTCTGCTAATCAAAATAATGCTATTGTTACCCATATTTTGTTCAATTGTTTCAGTTGTGCCCAATTATTCATTTAAAGTTTTCTTGGCAAAGATGTTGGAGCAATTTGCCATTTCCTTCTCCAGCTCATTTTTCAGATGGGAAACTGAGGCAAACAGGGTTAAGTGACTTGCCCAGCATTACACAGCTAGTAAGTGTTTGAGGTCAGATTTGAACTCAAGAAGATGAGTCTTCCTGACTCTAGGCTAGCATTGTATCCCTTATGCCACATAGCTGCCTTATCCATATTTTCCAGAGGAAGAAGCTGAGGGTGGGAGAGGTTAAATAACTTGCCTAAGGTCATATTAATAACTGTCTGAGGCAGAATGTGAATTCAGGTTTTCCTAACTCCAAATCCAGCAAGCTATCCACTGAACCACTTGGTTGCTTCTAATAACAGCTAGCATTTATATAACACTTCTAAAAGACTTCCATGGCACTTCATACATATCTCATTTGAGATTGGTAGCAGCCCCGTGATCTAACAGCCACTATCATGATCCCCACTTTACGTATGAGGAAAGTGAGGCTGAGAGAAGTGCCCCTTCCAGGGTCCCTCTACTAAGTGTCTGAGGTAGGATTCAAACTAAGGTTTCCCTGACTCCAATTCTAATACTCTATCCATTGTGCTGCCTAGTTACCTCTCTAAGAACTTCAATAAATATTTTTATTTATAAAAGGACTCATATAGGTTTTCTTCATTCTTTGTTCTCTTTTGAGTATAGGCCTAGTAGTGAAATAAATGAATCAACATTTTCACAATTTATTGATATCTGGGGCAGAGTTCCAAGTTGCTTTCCAGAATGGCTGGACCAATTAATGGCTCCACCAACAGTTCATTCCTGTGCCCGTTTTCTTTCAGTCCTTCCAACAGTAGTCATTTTCTGCTTTTGTCATGTTTGCCAGTCTTCTATATGTGAGGATAAATCTTAGAAATGCTTTAATTTGCATTCCTGTTAACATTAGTAATTTGAAGCAATTTTTTCCCCCTATGGTTGCTGATAGCTTGGATAGCTCTCCTTGAAATCTACTTATTCATATTATTTGACCCTTTATCTTCTGGGGGATGACTCTTACACTTATAATTTTGAATCAGTTCTTTCCTATCTTGGATTTGACATATCTATCAGAGAAACTTGGCTCAAAGAGGTTTTTTTCCAGTTACCTTTCATTTTTAAATTTTAACTGCATTATTTTTATTTTTGGAAAAACAAACATTTTCTAAAATCTTAATTGTCCATTTTATCTGCTATGATCCTTTTTATTTATGTTTCATCATGTGTCCTACCTCTATCCATAGGTTCAAAAGATCTTTCGTTCCTTGTTCATCTAATTTCCTTTCCTTAATTTTATGTCTAGGCAATGAAGGAGTGTGGTGGTATATATTTAATAACCAGATTTCTGGGGAGAAAAATTCTTTGTCATAAGAGATGGCTCTCAGGGTGGGGCAGGAAGAAAGATACAGGGGAAATTTTAGAAGATATAAAGACAAAATTGTCAACAAAAGTTTAAAAAAAATTTAGCATTATATAGCCTTCAGAGGACAGAACAGTTTCCATAGCAGAAATGCTGGAAAAAAATGATAGAGAGAAAGAGATGTGCAAAGGCATTCCTAATGAGCATAGTGAGTGTGCATGCCTATGGAGAGGAACATTTCCATTGTTGGGAGTATATCTAAAAGTTTTATCAAAATGACCAAAAAAAGCTAATGATTAAGATATTTTCATAGCAGTATTATGTGTAATTGTAAAACTTTCAAACAATCTATATGTTTAACATTAGGAGAATGGTTAAACAAATTGTCAAAGACTGATGTAATGGAGTATAATTCATTTAAGACAGACAAGTTTGAGGAATAAAAAGAAAGCTACAAACATCTCTATGAAATAAAGTAAAGCCAAAAGAAGTAGGACAAGAACCTAGAACACCAAGACTAATTCTGGGCAAATAAAAGAAAAGGTGAATAAGAGTAAA